CTATATAAATCCCAGATTATTGACAGCCCCCAAGCACATTACTGCTCCTCTTAGAGGACTTTAAAACAGTATTTAAAAGTCACAAACTAAAAGGAAAAATATAAGCAAATGTATTACCAGATCAAATACACATTATTAGAGCTTACAGAAACATTAAAGGTTATCTAATCCAAATATTTCATTTTTTGGTGATGAAAACTCTATAACCCAAAAAGTTTAGGTGCCTCTTCCAAATTCTCAGAGCTATTGCTAGGGAATCAGAACTTTCCTATCCAGATTCAACTGGATAGACTGTTTTTTCCTTTCTGTTATGATTAATCAAGAGGCTTTTATTGAAAATGTGGGCCTTCTGAAGTCTTTAACTGAGATTAGAGCTATCAAGAAGAGCGTATCACATCATTTGTTGGTGGTTGATACATAATACACGCATACACAGCTAGATATTTCACTTGCTCTCAGCCTACCTTCCTGAATAGAGATCAGTAAGGTGAATTCCATGATCTTAGATTCAGTTCAGCGTGGCTTCTTTTGGCAAATGCAGGGAGAAAGGATGGAGAAATATCGTCTTGAGTTTTATACAGGAGAAAGTGAAAAAGAATACTCAACAGAGCGCCATCTACAAATGTGACAAATATGAGAAGTGCTTTAATCATTTGACGTCTTGATGAAGACTGTTCCCTGGCCCCGTCAAACTGACATATGAGAAGAGGCTGTGGTGAAATTACAGGGTGAAGTTCAACATTCGTCGACGGCCTTTCCCGGAGTCACCACCGCAATCCTCCTGCTGCTGCTGCCACAGCTGACTGAGAAGACAAGTGTTCTACGCCACAGCCAAGCGGGTCAATAACAGCATCAGCATTTTGATTGATTATTTTATTTGTGTTTTCAAGAAAGATGCTGAATCATAGCAATCACTTACAAAATAGATGACCCGATTTTTGTGTATAACAATAGGTACCTTTGTGTTTCTGCATTTCAAATAAGCCCCCAGAGAAACTATATCTACCTGAACCAACCGGTTTTTCCTCAAGTCTGAAAGTAAAGATTTGCTGATCCCGGAAATAAATTTTATTTTTCCTTCTGGCTATATCCCTTAATCATATTCCTCTTCATTGCAAAGCTAAAGATAATAGTTAAGATGTCACAAGGGACAGTTCCCAAAATGAAGGACCCAGTTACCAATGGGCATGATAAGCAGCTGCTCCCACGATGGTAATTAAATTAACAGAAGTGCAAATCAGTTGTCTGTGTTACATTACTTCTCGTCTCTTCAGGCTTACTTGAGAATTACAGATTATTCCAGCTTGAACTCTTTTCCAGATTTTGTGGGTGAATACTAAAAAACGCAGGTCTTCTGTAATGTTACCCGATGTGCTATTTCACCTTCGGAACGGTAAGAGGTCTGGGTTCCAACTGATGTTTCTCGGATCTGTTTCTTAGCCTGGCTTGATGAGGACAGCAGCCTGCAGGCCGAGAACCCCACGCAGGACAATGGGGAGGACAGTGTGGAAAGGCAGCGGAGGTCACCTCTCAACATGGCCAGAGAGATCGGCCAAAACGTGCTTCATGTCCAAGGTGATGTAAAGGAAATGAAGTGGGTGCCCACACTTCAGCCTTGTCCCCTTTCCCTCCCTGTCGTCTGGCTTTGGAGGACAAATCACAACGACACAGTGTGGCAGGTCAGTGTCCAATGAGCTCCACATGCCCTCTCACTTCTCTCCACCACAGCTCCACCAGGCGGGCAGACTGCCTCTCACGCTTCACAACCTCACAGCCGAGTAAGGGAAAGTCAGAGTTGAATGGATTTGCCCAACTTTTCTAAGTGTACACAGATCTTTCCCCCCCAAATTCAAGGCGGGGGGCACAGGAGAAGGAACTCCTATTCTGCATTCTGTGGGAAGGCAGACTCACTGGATCACAAGGATTACAGGTGTTGGGGGGTGGGGAAGGCTAGTGACTCATTGAAATGTAAACATTTAAATATGTTTGCATCTAAAATATAAAAAAGGGTAATGTAATGAAATAAAATAGAATAAAAACTTATGAATTCATACTGGTAATAAATAAATAACCTAGTTAATAAATAAATAAAACAAAAATTCTGAATAAAATAAAATAAAAATTCACGAATTTTTACTGAATAAAATAAAAATTCAGGAGTTCATGCTGGTAATAAATAAATAACCTGGTGGACGCCACCTTAACCAAGTGATCAAAGTTAACGAAGTTAATGTCACCAAAAAATGGGCCAACTGGCATTACTTATATAGAGGATCCCAAGTAATCTCAAAAATATCTGCTAGAATTAATCAGTTAATTTAGTATGGTCAAAGGATACGATGTCAACATATAAAAATCAGTTGTATTCCTTTTTTTTTTAGATTTTTTATTTTATTTATTTTTTTCCCCCCAAAGCCCCAGTAGATAGTTGTAGGTCATAGCTGCACATCCTTCTAGTTGCTGTATGTGGGACTCGGCCTCAGCATGGCGGGAGAAGCAGTGCCTCAGTGCACGCCCAGGATCCGAACCTGGGCCGCCAGCAGCGGAGCGCGCGCACTTAACCACCAAGCCACGGGCCGGCCCCAGTTGTATTCCCATATATGAGCAGTGAGTAATTAAAAATTAAAATCTAAAAAATAACATTTACAATAGCATCAAAAGCATGATTTAGGTGTGTTGATAGAAGTATTCTAAATCATGAATGTGATGATGATTACATGATTATATACATTTGTTAAAACTCATAGAATTGTACACTTAAAGTTAGTGAATTTTATTGTTATGTAAGTCATACCTCAGTAAAGAGAGAGAAAGGGAGAGAGCTCTTCTTACATGCCATGTTCTAGGTGCTGAGCATACAGTATAGAAGATAATAAAGCTTTTCCATTGAAGCTAACTTTCTAGTCATGGTGAGACAGATGATAATGAATGAACGAATGAAGGAATGAATACATCAAGCAGTGAAAAGTGCTAGGAAGAAAAATAAAACATGGTAAGGGGATGGGGCAGTGAGAGAGAAGGGGTATGAACTATTTTATATAGAATAGTCAGGAATGGCTTTGCACTGACAAGACAATTGAGCAGAGACCTAAATGAAATGAATGCCTGAGCCCCGTAGACCCCAGGAGGAAGAGCATTCCAACAGAAGGGAGAGCAGGAACATGCTTGGCAGGTTAGCCTAAGGGCAAAGAAGTTGACATAGCTGAGAGAGAAGGAGCAAGGAGGACAGTGGCAGGAGACTGAGGAGCACGATCACATCGGGGCTGAAAGGCCATGGAAGAAAGGGACTTGGGATTTTATTCTGAGTGACGTGGGAAATCACTGGAGGGTTCTGTGCAGGGGAGTGAAATGGTCTTTCCTGCAAGAAAGATCATTCTGCTGCTGTAGGAAAGCAGGGAGGTGAATTTAGAAGGTGGTGTGGGATGAATTGCATCCCCCCAAAATATGTTGAAGTCCTAACCCTCAGTATCTGTCAATGTAACTTTATTTGGCAGCAGGGCCGGCAGATGAACAAGTTAAGATGAGGTCATTAGAGAGGGCCCTAATTCAATATGACTTATGAGAAGAGGAAAACACCACGTGAAGACAGAGACTCACAGGAAGAATGCCATGTGATGACACAGGCAGAGACTGGAGTATTGCAAGGTGCAAGGCAAGGAACGCCAAGGATTTGTGGAAATTAATGAAAGAAACCTTAACTAAATTGGAGTTGGGAGGGTCTGTAGGTGAAGCTCTCATACCCTATCACACATCGTCAATTACACCAAGCAGGAAGAGAGGGACACTTGCATCTTGGACAGGAATAAAAACTACTTTACAACTGAAGGAAGATTTCTCTCCCACCAGCAACAGCCCAGCCAACGAGAAGCCGCTGCCGCCCTCAACTGCTACTTCCCCCCAATGGACTTTGCTTTAGAACAGCCCCTCCCTACTGCCCCCTTTTCTCTATAAAAGCAGCTCCCCTCCTTTGCTGGATTTACCAATGGTTTGCCATAGCACGTACATCCTCAATTGCAATTCCATTGGTTATTCCTGAATAAACTCATTTTGAGCTAAAACAACAGGCAAATTTGCTTCTTAAGCTGACATATTGATGGCCACCACCAGAAGCTAGAGAGAGCAAGGCTTGGTTTTGGACTTCTGGCCTTCAGAACTGTGAGACAATGAATTTCTGTTGTTTAAGCCCCCCCCCCCCCCACGCTCGTGGCAATTTGTTATGGCAGCGCCAGGAAACTAGTACAGAACGCTACTGCCACCCTGGCCTATCCAGGATGGCGCTTCAAACCGGGCGCGCAGGCAGGCAAATTCTGGATCTGTTTCTAATGCAGGGCCATCGCGAGGAGGGATGGGGTGGCGAAAAGAGAAGTCGGGATGCCCTCCAGGTTTGCGGCTAGAGCAGCTGGGTGATGGAGCTCCCACTGAGACGGGAAGGTGGCGGGCCCCGGGCTCGGAGCGGGTTTGGGAGAGACTGAGCTGGACAGACCAGCTTGCAGTCCCGGGGAGAGTCGGGCGGGACCTGAATCTCGGACCCCGCACGGAACAGACTTGGGCTGCGCAAAGGCGGTCCTCGAAGCCCTCCACCTGCTTTCTGGGTCCTAACGCCAAAGGACAGGTGTTCTCACGGCAGCCTGCTTTCCGATCGGGCAGCGTCTGCCTCGATCATTTTCTATAATGCCCTTGCCCAAAGGAAAGATAAAAAACAACCCAGACCCTAAACCGCGAAGACCCGTCTTGATTCTGTAACCCGGGCCGGCTTGGGCTTCGAGTTTGTGAATCATCTGCAACTGGATGTGATTGGCGGAGGCCCGCCTGGGGGTCGGGGCGATCCCGAATCACCGACTACCGCGGATCGGGAGCCCGTTTCCGGCGGCGGCGCGGGGGTGGCCGGGAGTCCGGAAGTGCCCCCCGGGTTGTGGTTCCGGTAGCGGCGCGGGGGCGGCCGGGAGCCCGGAAATGCGCCGATGGCGCTGCATCCCGGCTGGCTGGTAGCCGGGGCCGGCCGGCGAGGTAAGATCGATACCGGCTGTCCCCGGCATGGCCACTCGGGCGGCGGCCGGGGCTGCGGTCACCGGCGCGGCCGTTGTCGCGCTGCTCTCGGCCGGCTTTGCGCTCTATGGGCCGCCGCTGGACGCAGGTACCCGGCCGCGGGCCCCTTTTCGGCCGGAAGACGCTGCCCTGGGGCCGGGGACCGCAAGGGGCCGTGTTTCTGGGGGCTGTAGGGCGGGGGACCGCAAGGTGCCGTGTGTCGGGGGGCCGTGGGGCTGGGTCCGCAAGGGGCCGTGCGTCGGGGGCTGTAGGGCCGGGGACCGCAAGGGGCCGTGTGTCGTGGGGCTGGGGTCTGCAAGGGGCCGTGTGTCGGGGGACCGAGGTCCGCGGGGGGCAGTGTGTCGGGGCGCTGAAGGGCCGGGGACCGCAAGGGGCCGTGTGTCGGGGGGCTGTAGGGCCGGGGTCCGCTTGGGGCCGTGTGTCGGGGGGCTGTAGGGCCGAGGTCCGCTTGAGGCCGTGTGTCGGGGGGCTCAGGGCGGCCAGCTTGCGCGGGCCGGGAACGACGCTCGCCCGCCCCCCGGGCCTCCAGTGGCTGAGCGGAACACGCGAACCCGGCGGCGCTGGCCGCGGCCTTGGGGACAGCCGCGGGGCGGGACGTGGTGCGCAGCCGGAGCAGTGCCGCGTCCACGGCGAGGGCTTGGAGTGCTGGAACCCCCGGGCGGGGGGCGGGGGCGAGGGCGAGCCGCCTGCGCGAGTTCTCGGGCCCGACGGCCCGGGCCCGGGCGTGTTGCAGGGGGTCAGTTGCGGAGGGGGCTAACTCGAGCGACCCCCGAGGACCTTACCCTAGCCTTGGCTGTTACATAGGACGGACTGCGTAGAAAGAAGTTAGGCGTAAACGGAACAGGTGCGTCCTAGTCGGCACCCTCCCCCCGCCCCGTGCCCCCTGGTACGGCTTTTTCTCTCTGTTTGCTCTGTGGATGTTAACATACCTAATACCTTTAAGACCACTAAATAGGTAGCTTGTGTATTGTATTATCTCATTTCTCACAACAAAATGGAGAGATTGCTGGTATCCACCTTTGTGTAGAAGATAGAGGATCTGAAAAAATAAGACTTACCCAAGCCAGGTTTCCCCAGCCAGTGAGTAGCTGAAATGGCAAAATGCAGTTTTGCCACAGTAGTGGTTAGAAAGGTTTTATTGTGTATATGTGTGTTGGGCATGGTCAGAGATAATTGTTAGGGAGTTTTGGCTTTTTGTTTTTCAGCACGATAGTTCAGATGCTTTGAGGAGCATTGAGGGGTCCCTCAGCTTCTGCACCTCACTTAATCATATCAGATGCAGAGGGGCTTCTGGGTACCAGTTTATTCAGAGACTTTTTATTGGTAGCTGTTTGTCTTCAACTCACACACTATGATTAGTTAGCAAGATTTCTCTTTGAGTTTTTTTGAATTTTCATCATTAGACTGACTTGCTGAACTTTCACCACAAAACAGGTGGTGTTCTAGATCACTGACTTCTCATGCTAGCTTTAGGGCATCTCACTTATCTTAAGGACAGCTGTCACATGCTCCAAAATGATTATGATTCACATTAGTTTGAATCACGTTTGGCAGAGAAACATTGATAGCACAGACTGTTGTAAGTGGCAAGTAATTCTGGAAAACAGTCCAGACTTATGAAATCTATTTAATTCTCCCATCTTTCTTAGCTACACTTCTGTAAAACAAACAAAACCAGACAGGTTTGACCTGTTCTTCCAGACTCAGAATTGTCATGAAGACAAAGTTACTTAATAGGATAAATTTTAAGTTGCCTCTTGTTAAGGCCTTTTTATCCTTCAGAACTTTGATGTTTATATTTAAATATTTCTGTGAATAAGTCCAGATGGTGTATGTCAGTAGGTTAGTTGAAACTGTGATTCATTGTGAAATGTGGGGAAATTTAATTGATTTTCCTTTGGCCCTTTTGCTAGGAGAAGGTGTTCATCTAGGGTGAATGGGACAGACACTGGTGAGCAGTGTGGATTTTATTTTGCTTTCATACAATTCCAGTTAAAAACTGAAAATGCTGTATTTCTCAACAGTGATTTTTTTCCTGCTCCCAAAGAGTTTCAGAGGGCAATTGAGAAGGATTTGACTTGTCTTTTGGTTGGTGGGGTGAATATTTGATTAAAGAAAAATGATTTATTTTGCCTTAAAATAGCATTTTCACAAAATGGTATCTTTTGGTCTGGCTTATCCATTCCTAACTGAGGCATCTTCATAGGTCTGTCTCTCTGGGCCTTAGTTTCCTTCTCTGTCAAAGAAAGACAGACTGGCTGCTAATGAGGAGAGTGAAGGACCATGCCCTTAATTCATCAGACATTTATTCAGTGGTTTATTCTGTGCCAGACCCTGTTTGAGGTGACTGAGGGCGAGGGTCCAACATGGAAACATGTGGACCCTACCCTTAAGCCACAGGTGGGAGCTGTGCCACATTCTGTGTCGACAAAGGGTAGTGGGGTGGTCTTAGGGGTATTTTGTGTGTGACTAAGTGCTGTATATAAAGAGATGGTACCTCGCGGCCGGCCTGGTGGCGCAAGCGGTTAAGTGCTCCTGCTCCGATTCAGCAGCCCGAGGTTCGCTGGTTCGGATCCTGGGCGTGCACCGAGGCACTGTTTGTCAGGCCATGCTGTGGCGGCGTCCCATATAAAGTAGAGGAAGATGGGCACAGATGTTAGCTCAGGGCCAATCTTCCTCAGCAAAAAAGAGGAGGATTGGCATGGATATTAGCTCAGGGCTGATCTTCCTCACAAAAAAAAAAAAGAGAGAGAGAGAGATGGTATCTCATAAACCCAAAACATTTTGAGGAGCCCAGAACAACTCTTCAGTGACTGGTAAGTTTGGATTCTACTTTTACAATTTCTAGACTTGAAAAAGCAACTGTATTTCCTGTTCTGGGGGATTTGAAAGAGTGACTGTTGTCTGATACTCTTGTATTGACTATTTATGTTGTTATGCTAGGTATTTTCTAGTTTGAAACAAATACATGGCAAGCGTTTTCGTGACTGCATAGATTGCTCACCAGCAGGCCGTGATTCCATCATTAAATCTGATTATACCAGCTCTAGTGTCTTGCATGCAGCTTGGTGGGGAGCGCTGGGAAAGGGCACTTCCCGGTAACTGTGCATGGTGGAGAGAGAGTGTGCATCCTGGGAATTCGGGGTGTGGGCGGGCATCTGGGCAGTTGAGTGGACTGGGGGGGAGGAGGAGTGAGAGAGGGTTGCTCTGTTAGCTCAGCGCCTCTGTGGCCTGGCTCCAGGTCAGCGTGGGAGGCTGTACTGTGGACTTGTCACTGGAGCGGAATGCAGCCTATGAGGAAAGACTTCGGGAGCAGAGGGATCGGCCAGCTGTACTGTCGTGGAGCAAGCCTAGGTGTGCCTTCTCTTGGCCAAAGGTTTACAGTGATTCTGTTTCGAGTTTTAACCCTGTGTTGGTTTGGAAGGTGAAAAGGTGTTTGGGCTGGTGGTAATTAAGATTCTCTTTACATCTGGAGGTCTAAGCATCTGATGTATCAGCTGAGACATTTATAGCTACTCATTAAAGAAAATTACTTGAATAATTTTGTTGAATAAAAAGTAAAACTGTAAGAGTGTTATTGGAGATAAAGCTGCTTTAGCATATGGAGCTGAGTCAGCTCTCCGTCTTCATTTGAGCTGGTGACACGTCTAGTTTCTCTCAGCTGCTGAGATTGTTGGAAGGATAAAAATATTGGATGCCTTGTTTGAGAAAATATTGTTTATATCTACGAACATCCTTTAATTCTAGAGAAAATATAGGCTTTATTTATTCATACAGTGGGCTCTATAGAACATCGGCATTTCTCTCGCAGATAAGCTGTTTTAAATATTAAGGCAAAATATACAACGCAGGAAGTTTTTCAAGAAAGACCAAGTAAAATGGAGCTATTTAGAGACCATTCAAAATGATCAAATTATTTTAAAATGCCACTTTCAACCCAATGTAAGATATGTTCTATGTTTAGAATGCTATTTCTTTTTTTTTTTTT